CCCCCTCTTCTTGCGGAAACCTGCCTGGCCCTCACTAATGCTATGTTCCTTGTTTGTTTTGGGGGGGGGGCGTCTTTTCAGCTCGATCCCCTCGGCTGCTGATGATCAATTGATCAATGAGTGTTGCGAGAGGGGGTGTCAAGCTTTTGAATAGTGAATAATTGATAGTGAATAGTGGATAGTGAATAGTGAATAGTGAATAGTGAATGGTGAACAGTGAATAGTGAATAGTGGATAGCGATCGCATCGGTTGGCGTGTGTGAGAAAGAGGTAGGTGTTCAACAAGTTCAGTTGTGCGGGGTGTATTCCGTGAGTCAGGCGCGTTCCGAAGATTGTGCTCTGGCGCTTGGCCCGGGAACATCCATCCCTCCAGCCAACGCCGTTTGTTGCCGTGCGGTACCTCTTGTTTGTAGTTTCATCGTGAAGTCTTAAACCGTTATTTCGAGACATTGCCTCTCATTGTAAGGTTATTGTTTGACGTCACAGCCGCAGATTTAGGGGGTCAAACGGCAACCTTACTTCACACAACAGCATCAGACATTCCTAAACTTTCGTGGTATCCTGTTGGTAAACTTCACAGCAGTCACAGATTTTGGGGTCGAGAAGCAACCGCTGTTCACACAGCCGTTCCACTCGAGACATTATTTTTTCATTGCACTTTTTTTGTTGGACTCCACGGTAGTCACAGACGATGGGGTCAAGAAGCATCCCTAGTTCACATCGGTCTGTTTGCTTTCTACTCTTCTACGCCTACGCAGGGAGCGCAGTGGGACCAAAGCGACAAGTTCATCTCCTCCGGCGTGAAGTGGCTTCTCGAGCGCCTCGCCCGCATGAGCGAGCGGTGCCGGGAGATCATCACCCCGACCCCGTCCCCCGCCGCATGTCCCCCCGGCGGTGCCGTCGAGAAAGGTGCCGCTAGCGTCGGCGGTGGTAGTACCAATGGCGGCGGCGGCAATGCTACCGCGGTGATGGAGGAGAGGAGGAGGGCCGCCCGCAAGCGCGCGATGGACATGATCGAGCAGAAAGCGTCGGCGTTTGCCCGGCAGATCAACATGATGGCCTCCTCCTCCTCCTCCTCCTCCTCCTCCTCTTCTGAAGACGAGGAGGTTAAAGACGGCGGCGGCGGTGGTGGTGGTTTGTCCAGCGGTGCCGGTGCGGGGCGGCGAGTGGCCGGCACGTGCGCTTCCCCTACCGAAGGGAGCGGGTCCCCGGCAGAAGGGGCGGCGGGAAGGCGGGGGAAGCTACGGCTGAAGCGCAAGAAACGGGAGCGGCGCAGCAGGGGCAGCATCAAGGAGCAGCGGCCGGAGTGCATCGTTTGTCGCGACGATGCTGACCGAGGGCCGTTGGGTTATGTCGGATTCGGCAGGCGTTCTCAGGTGCTGGACGTCAGGCCGGACGGGGAGGAGCGGTCCCCGGGGGTGCACCTACAGGTGATCATGATGCACTATTAGCCTAGCTTTTCTTGGCGGTGAGAAGGGTGTGGGGTTTGTTTGCTCTGGTGAGCCACTAAATTGCGCACGTGTTGGCTTGATGGTGACTTTGTCATCGCGATGTTTTCTTTTTTCATCTCTGATGAGGCCTAGCGTGCGTATGTTCAGCGTGCTGGTGATTGACGTGATGCAGTGATTCGCGATGTGGCTTTTGTCTCTGATGAGGCCTAACGCATGTAGTCCTCACACACACCTTGCTCCCCCTCCTGCAATCCGTCTCTCCAAACCAACACCACTGCGCGGTGGGATGCTGTGGACTGTCTGGTGGTGGTGCCAGTTTTGCGGGCACACCCTCCACTACTCCTGCTTCGAGAAGTACTACGTGACGATGGTGCAGATGTCGGACAGCAACAACAACGTCGCGCTCGACGTGGACAAGGGGGAGTTCCACTGCCCCTTCTGCAAGGCGGTGGGCAACCTCATGGTGCGTGCGTTCGTCGAGTTCCGGGTGGTTTCGCTTTCTTTTCATGTTTTTTTTTTTTTTGTTTGCCCTTGTTTCGTGGTTTTGTTGCACGCGGTGTATTCGTGTGTTCTCTGTCGATGGTCACAATCGAGCGTTGCTGTCGCAAGTGTTCGGCGGTGGTGATGGGTACGCAAGGCTGCCGGTGATCGGAATCGATCGTGCCGATTCTCTGTAATTTCTTTCCCCCAACGCGCCACGGCTACCCCCCCTCAATCTCTCTTGCCGCCCCCCTCTGACCGTAGCTTATCGTGTCGATACACTTAACAGAGTTCTGTTTTTTGAATACTTCCCCAATGCTGCATGGGGGGGCCGCTGCTCCCTCTTCCATGCCTCCCCCCTGGCCGTCACTCAGGTGCCTTGCCTCGAGGAGTCTTCGGAGACCGAGGATAGCGATTGGGAGGAAGAAGAGGACGAGGAGGTGGAGGAGGACGAGGGCGAGGAGGAGGAGGAGGAGGAGGTGGGGTTGGGGGGCAAGGAGAGGCCGGGCAAAGGTGCGACGGCTGATCACGCAGGAGGGGATCCGATGGACGTTTCTGAGGAAGAGCACCAAGTGAGCAACAGCGGGGCTCCGTGACCGCATCTGTGTTGTTAATGTTGTGGTTGATAGTTCGTCCATGCTGGCTTGGTGCTTATTGTTGCTGTTCGGCTTTGAGCCGCAGCGCGAACCTGTAGACAAGCGTCATCTCTCATGGCTGGCGTCAGCGAAAGCAGCGCGGTGCCTAGGCTTGTTTTTGCGATCAGTGCTGGCATGTTTTTACTTGACTTTTATTTTGGTGTTATGGTCCGCCTTGACGGCCAACACACACCCACGAAAAAAGAAAAAAGAAAACGGCCGTTGCAGCCCCTGGCGTCGTGGAGGTGTTGTGAGCGAACGGATGTGCGGAAGATGGTTGTCGCTTGGAAATACCCGTCGACTGCAAGTGCCAACCGTCTCCTGTGCGTGCGTTGTCCTCACAAGGCTCCGTTGACACTCAGGGCTGCGACGGGTGTTTTCTTTTTGTGCGTGTCGACCGCTCGGGCCACGAAGTCACAACCAATACATGAAGATGTCCACGGATGGTTTTCTTGGCCTGTTAGGTCTTGGTCTTGGCAAGACGTCCCGCGACAACCAAGCGCGATGGCAGTTAAGACCTCATTCATCATGGCAGTTAGTTTCCGTGCGTTTCGGCCGAAATTCACTCCTTGGTATTATATTCATTCACGTGATGCCGGAATCAGTTCATTGATTTGTTAAATAAAGTGATGAGCGTCTGTATGTAATTCGCACAGTGTGATGTCGACGTTCCAACGATATCCACGCTCGCTCCGGACTGCTGATTAAAGATGAGAGGTGCTGTTTTGTGTCACCTCAGAATGTGCAGTAGATATGTTTGGGACGTGTCAGCTCACCTACAAGGTATGGAATATCAACCGATAGGGGTGTTGCCACAGCAGAATAGAGCCAGTGCGACAAGCGGGCTAGCTGCTCCCTCTCGCACATAACCCGCATCGTCGCGCCTCCGTTGCCCACGAGGGGTTGGATCCGGGGTGGTGTTCACAGCACGCATGGCACAAAGAACCTTGAGCCAAACCATCTCACAGAACAAATAGACGATATGATGACATCTTGTTTCTAGGCGTCCAATGTTGCTGACGGCCACAGTCACTGCCCCCCCCCCCCCCCCCCCCCCCCCCCCCCCCCCCCCCCCCC